GGTATTACGACAGTTGGCCTGGACTCATATGGAGTTCTGGTATATAGGATATAAGGTGAAGTGTCACAGAGTCCTTACCCTATAATACATCGCTAGCACACATTGTTCTTTAGAAAATATCACTGGATCTAAATTCTTGGATTCAGGGTCTCAGTTCACGCCTGGTATGGAAAGAATTTTGAGTCTTAGCTGTTTGATACATGCAGCTTTTAACTCGTAAAGGTAGCAAGCGGTACCACAGTTTAATGCGATCTTCCTTTGGCCATGCCACGCTACTAAATGCGGTTGGCAGTTTCTTTATGATATTTTTATTTATTCATTTATTTATATTTTGTTATTCTTCCTGGAAAGTCCTGAAAATAAGTGTTATTTAAGGATCTTCCTCATGACATATGATGTCACTTACATGCGGTGTGTGTGTGTGTTTCCTCTCTACAGGCAAGCGTGGGACCTGGCCGTGGACATATGCCTCTCTCAGCTGCCCACCATCATCGAGGAGGGCACCGCCTTCAGAGTAAGAGTGTGTGTGTGTGTGTGAGAGACAAATAAGCACAGAGCCACTGATGCCTCTGATGCATCATGTTGTTGTGTTTTTTGGCATTAAATGCATGAAGCTTGGAGGCTAGGGGACCTCTAGCATTGATGGATGTCTTTCATCTTGAATGTGTCCAGCACTGACACCTGTAAACAACAAACTGTTCTTGTTTGCACTGCAAGTTCGCCACCACCCGCATATACAGCATCTCTATTAATCTCTCAAACACACTCGCACACACTCATCCCCGGCGGATTACATTGTAAAATGTCAAGTCTAATAACTCAAGTATGAGCGTCAAATAAAAAATAGTTTCAGAAAGCACTGGCCCTGCACTTTGAGCCGCTTGACTGTTTATTGTTCTATTTACTGACGAGGCAGGGGGCCGTGATGGAGATGCTGAGTGTAATGGAAGCGCTCTTCAAAAAAGCTGATTGAGCTGATGATGACTTAACAAATGTGGGTCATCGTAACACTTTTTTTGTTTTGTTTTTTTGTATCTGTGTGAGTTAACAGCATATCTGTATCACTGTCTTGGTGTATTTTCCCTACAACATCATAAGTGATGTTTTTCAGGGCCTTTGCAGGTCGCCAGTTTCATTGTTGTGATCTTGTAGCTTTGATTGGTTTAAGCAACTAAAGTCTTTTATTGGGTTTTGGCAGCAGAGCTACTTGGTTAGGTTAAAGGAACAAATGTGTTTTAGAAAGTTTAAACAACTGAATTTGTCAGGACTATGAAACAAATTTAAACAACAAAGCGATTTGATTAGGTTCAGGCAACAAAACTTGTTAGGCTCATGTGACAAAACTACTTGGTTGGGTTTAGGAGAAGATCCTAAATCCTTTTTACATACTGTCCTTCTCCTTTTCCTTGAGAAACCCAGGAAGGACCATGTGGATAGACAACTTACTGTGGATTAACAGTACCACAGGACACTGTTTGGTTTTTTAAAATTCAAAATATTTTTATTGAGTATTTGTGGATATGGTTTACAAAGAAAAAAAGAAGACGGAAAACACAAACTGTTTACAATGAATACAAAACAGAACTTCTCATGTTGGAACATTGTTTTCCTCTCTTATTATTTACCAAACAAGCAACGAGACAAAAGGAAAAAAAACTGAAAAAAACAAACAAAAAGAGAGGACCCCCCCAAACAAAAAAACAAAACAAAATAAAAGTCCCAGCCCTGGAGGAATTAATATTATGATATTAAGTAGCCCGCTCCATAAGAACCACACAGATGTTAGGTACACCATCACTGAGCTCCACGTTCCCGTTAACACAGACAGACCACTATGGAGAAGCAAATCCATTAGTCAGCTGGAACATCGTTGAGTTGAAGTTGACCCCAAATTTTATCAAATGTGCCCTTTTGGTTCTGGATGGAGCAGTGGATCTTTTCCAGACTGAGACGCGACATGAGATCAGCAAGCCACCGACCATGGGAGGGCGGGGCAGCAGCCTTCCACCTCATCAAAGTGGCACGCCTAGCCAAGAGGGAACCAAAGGACAACGCTTTGCTCCGTGAATGTACTTATCATCCTCTCCCGCTGTACCAAAGAGAGCAAGTAGGGGGTTGAGAGCTAGTTTCAGGCCGGTAGCCTTGTTCAAAGTGCAGGAAACCTCCTCCCAAAAATTTGCCAGGGCAGGACAGGTCCAAACCATGTGGGTTAGATTGGCATCGTCAGACCCGAACCTGCTACAGCGAGGGTCTAAACTGGGATAAAGCTTAGCTAGTTTGGATTTAGATAAGTGGGCCCCGTGGACTACTTTGAATTGTAACAGGGAATGACGGGCGCAGAGTGATGTAGAGTTTACCAGAGAAAGGACTGAGTCCCAGACGTCATCTGACATACCTATACCCAACTCCTTCTCCCATGTGGACTTGAGGCCCACAACGCGGGCTGGGGTTACACTGCACAGTTTGTTATAGACGCGAAACATTACAGCTTTGCCTGATAGTTGCAAATTAAGGCGCTTGTCCAGTAAGTTAGCAGCTGGAGCTTCTGGAAAGGACACTTTTGTTAGTATTGTTATAATTAATAACAGTCTTTTACCTAAAAGTCAAAAATCCTGCAGCATCATTACTTATAATGCTGTGGGAACCAGATTGAGCCGACCAGCGGTTACTAGACTCTGCAACAACGATGCAGAACACACAGCAGCTTTTCCCATGTTAGGGCTCTTATATGGGAACTCCACCTTCTCTCCACCTGGCCCTGGGAGGTGAGCATCGCTCCCCCAGGAGCAGTTTTCCACACTCACTCCTCCTCCTACTTTCTCTTGCACTTGGGCTAAAAACACTTACCAACACTATAATTGAGCCTCTGAGGACTCCTAAAGCAGATCTGCCTGCTCCGTCTTTCAGGAGCCTTTAATTCCTCTCTGATGTGCTTTGACTCCTTCAGCTCTCTTTGTTGGACTTTGTCACAGCTGAGTAAAGAAAAAAAGGAGAATGTTATTTATGGTAGATTTTAAAGATTGAGTCTCTGCCCATGTTAATTAACTCCTCTCCAGCACCTGTAAAACACCCCGACAGTCATATTTTATTTCATATGGAACCAAAAATGCACTCGTGCCCCACATCTTTGTTACTTTATGTAATAACTTTATTTCTTTATGTATTTTTGATATTTCGTGGCATTTTATAAATCTTTCTAAAAGATCTTTTATGTAATTTGTAGCTAAAAAAGGAGATTTGTGTCATTCATCACCAGTGTTGGTCAAGTTACTTGAAAAAAGTAATCAGT